TGAGTCATCCTCTTCTTTTTTTTTTTTTGGTAAATAAGATGACCCGTCCTATTTGGATGTGGAAAGATTCCCATGGTTTGTGGTAGTGTATCCCACATCAGTTGATGGTATGGGTTGTCTTCTATATGATCTTGGGCCATCCTTACTTTATGAGCTAGCTTTTGTAGTTGAGTTAGATCTCATTTTCTTTACATGGTATCAGACCCATTGGTTTATCCAATATAGGGTTCCATGTTATGTTGTCCACGCTCTAGATATCCAACCTTAGGCGTGCAGAGGGGGGGGGGGGGGGGGGGGGGATTGTCAGAGTGCCTACATTGGTTTAGGATAAGGGCTGTTGTCTTCTTATACTGTCATGGACAATTTTGTCTTATGAGCTAACATTTGTTGTTAAGTTAGGCTCAAGGTCTATTTCTTTGCATGATGACCGGGGATGAGGAGGCATCAGGATCATCATCTCATTCCGTCTTTGTATGTGAGATGGGGACATTGGGGAGGCATTAAGATGATTGATCCTCTTTTTTGTTAATAAATGAGGTGACTAATCCTCTCGGGATGTGGAAAATTCCCAGGATTAGCATCCTAAGACTCCTTTTTAACACAATATAAGAGATTTAATCTTGGGGAGAGGAGGAATTAGTCAACCCAGAATGATATGTTCATTCGTGCATGACTCATCCCACCTTATCCAGTCCACAAATCACATATGCACTGATTGTCTAACAACTGCTCCAAATATGTTAGTCACTTATGTTCAGCATTGTATTACTAGATTTTTGCTCGATTAACTAGGTGCTAATGGTCTTTCTTAATATGTTTCAGGTTGGACAACTGAGGGAGGTCTCTAATAAAGCAAATAACGCTGAGCTAAAACTGTTTTTGGAAGTTGAATTTGGCCTGGTAATGGATTATTGCCTACTCATCTTCCTGTTTCGCGTTCGGAAATTTTGTTGGGGCAGGTGCTATACTTTTGTGTATGTCAAGTTTTATCTTTTGCATTTTTTGGTTTGTGCATTCTGCAGGATTTGCGACCTTGTCCTCCACCTGAGAAAACCAAAGAAGATATTCTTCTATTTTTCAAACTGTATGACCCTCTGAAAGAGGAGATGAGGTATTTCTTCCTGTCTCTCTATAGTTTGAAATCCTTGTCTTAAAAGAGCAGTTATTTCCATGTTTGTCTAATTTGTGATCTCTAAATATCATTTCTAAATGGAAAGTGCATCATCTTCTTCTCACTCTTAGAGCCTGCAGACATGGTAGAGATGTGAAGTGTGACAATTTAGGTAACATGAGGTTACTGTGGGAAAAGATTACTTCAGTTTCAACACAGTCTATGTAGTTTCTTGTACTTGATGTAGACATTAAACAAAGTTTGTTAGAGGTCTTATAGTCTTGAGAAATATTAGTTAATTTTTGAACCTCAATCTGTTAATTCAATGTCGTAGGGAACATTAAACTACAGGGTTAATTCTAACTTTTAATGTATTTGAGATCTCGAAACTTGTCTTGTCGGTGTCCACATATTTTGGTGTCTGTGTATAAGTGGCCATGCAATGGAGGGGGATTTGTTAATTCTTTACTTGGTTTTCCTTCTTGTTGTCAGGTATGTTGGGCGGCTCTTTGTAAAAGGTAGTGGCAAGCCATTGGAGATATTGCCCAAGCTAAATGAGCTGGCTGGCTTTTCGCCTGACGAAGAGATTGAACTCTTTGAGGTAATTTTTTTTCTTATATTGCTCCGAGTTTGTTAACTCTCAATAGTAATATAGGTGACTTTTCAGGTTATGCTTAATATCATGTTTTATTGGCAGGAAATAAAATTTGATCCCAACGTGATGTGTGAACCCATTGATTGGAAGCTAACATTTCGTGGCAGTCAGGTATGTGCTATCACTTGCCATAGGTATATTGTTATGCCTTCACTGGCATGGCCAATTGCTTTCAATTATTCTGGTTATCGTTTCTTCTACTGGATTGGTTATATGATGCTCCTCTGCTTTTGCAGCTTGAAGATGGGGACATTATCTGTTTTCAGAAACCCCTTCGAAGTCAAACTAGTGAACAATATCGATTTCCTGACGTTCCTTCATTTTTAGAGTACGTGCACAATCGCCAGGTATGTGTTGCACCATGATATGTCATATTGCCTCTTGGAGCTACATCGGTAGTTACCTCTCTGAAATAAAAAATGTCTCTTTGATAAAGGCAGTCCCTTTGGTAGTACTCCTGCCTTTACTCCATTGTACTCACTTTAATTCAATTTTAAGTGACACTGTTTCTTTGGTGTTAAGTTTCAAAAGAACTCTGAATATTTTTCGTGGCTTGATAGCTAGGATAATAGTTTTCCTTGATTGTCTTGTAATCTCAAAATGTTGATCTTTATCGTGGTTATGTGTTTTCCATGTGATGTCTCCAGGTTGTTCGCTTCCGCTCATTGGAAAAACCCAAGGAGGATGATTTCAGTCTTGAGTTGTATGTATCTGTTTCAGTAAGTTCGGTGAGAAGCTTTTTCCTGTATTGTTTGACTCATTGATGATAATCAAACTCCAGGTCGAAGCGGAACAACTATGATGAAGTAGTTGAAAGATTGGCTCGCCATCTTGGCTTGGATGATCCATCAAAAATAAGGCTTACATCACATAACTGCTACTCACAGCAACCAAAACCTCAGCCAATAAAGTATCAAGGAGTGGACCGTCTTACAGAAATGCTTGTTCATTATAATCAGGTAGTTGCACGAACAGTGTCTACTCTGGTTAGGGCTACTTGGCACTTTTCTGTGTAATTAAAATTTTATGTGTCTTAGTTATTTACAGCTGACTACATTTTCTTACCATCCCTCCTCTTTGGATAGACTTCAGACATTTTGTATTATGAAGTCCTCGATATTCCGTTACCAGAGCTGCAGTGCTTAAAAACTCTCAAAGTCGCCTTCTATAATTCTGCAAAAGATGAAGTAATTGTAACACGCACTTTATACTTTTTATACAAAGTCTCTTTTGATAAGGTTTATACAGTCTCCTATGCTCTAATATATAATCTTGGGCTTTTCATTTCAGGTGACAATCCATACTATTAGATTGCCGAAACAAAGTACTGTAGATGATGTCCTTAATCATCTCAAGACAAAGGTACTTTTGAATTAAATTTTTATAAAATGTGATGCCTTGATAAAAAAATGTGATGCCATCTTTAAATAGTTTTTACCACAACTTTTAAACCTGAAAGTAGAAACTCGGAAGAAATGTAGGAAAAACCTTTTGTGTCTTGCCCCAGGCATACAATGCCAGTGTTCAATTAGAGAGGACTACCTCATGTGCATACTGAATGTAATGTCATGTAATTAGCTTATTTTATTGGATGGTTCTCTGATTAGTACACTTCTATAAATTCGTTTCTTTAAGATCTATTTCTGTAAGGTCAAATTTGCTGATCTTGTCTCATGTTATGGATTAGGTTGAGTTGTCACATCCAGATGCTGAACTAAGATTGCTGGAAGTTTTCTACCACAAAATATATAAGGTACCATTTATGTTGCATAACTTCTGCTGTAGTTTTGTATCTTCTGAAAGTGCTTCAATGCTCAGATAAAGCTGCTGTTGGAGTATTATACATAACCCTTTCTTTGTTTTCTAAATGATCTTCCAATCTTATAAGGTTCTGTGCATGTGTACGTGCCTATACATACAGACATATATTACAGTTCAATACACATAAATACACATAAAAAGACAGACAACAAACACAAACGGTTCAATGCATTTTGAAGTAGATAAAAATTCATGAAAGGACATGCAGTATCGTGCTTCTCAGTTTTGCTTCTTGGTAGCATTTCCAACATATCCTCCATATTTATTTTACAGATTTTTCCACCTACTGAAAGGATTGAGAACATAAATGATCAATACTGGACCTTGCGTGCAGAGGAGGTACGCCGACTATTCTGTTGTTGGTTTCCTTTATTTTATGCAGAAGAGCAGTTCTGATTTTGCTGGGATATGCAAGTTAGGGGTGACTCTGCATCAAAAGCTGGCAAGCATGAGATACACATTTTCATTTTTTTTTGATAACCGTGGTGTCCGGGCCACACATTTTCATTCTGATAATCGGAAGCTTATGTTTTTCTATTTTGGGTAGGGAAGAGTTTATCTAATTTTGGTTTGGGAATTTAATTATAAGGTTTTATTATTCCGTAAACCCAATCTAGATATCAAATTCAAAGTCATGGGGTGGAAATTTGCAGTTCAGTTGCCTAAAAAAATTGCACAAAAAATGGTTTTTGCTGTCAAAGATATCTGCTGAATCATGTGCCAGTTGATATTTTTATGTGTCGTTACCAGAAACATATGTGAACATCATGAAGAAAAAATTGCAATTAAGTGTGACAATGTGCTAATGAAGTAGCTTCTATTCAACTGCACAAATGTCTTTCTGGAGAGCTAGTCCCTTGTTAATCATTAATGGGCAGCTGTACTCTGGGGAGATTAATGTGTTGATTAAGGGAAGCAGGGGTGATTAGGGGGTTGTAGTCAGAACTTTTTGTGGCTGGAGAAGTTAAGGGTCCTGCAGATGGACTTAACTTTGAATTTTACTGCTACGAATGATGAGGTTTTTGTTGTTAGTTGTTGCTGTCATATTTTGCGAATAAAGTGTGTACTGGTGGATGACTGCACTTCTTTCCCTTAATGTTGTGGTGCTGCTGTGCGGGCAGGGTTGAGTATCTGTGGTCCAGCTGGTCCAATAGGCTTTGATTAGGTCACTGGTGTTGTCCTGTTTATTTAAGTTTATAGCCTTCAGTTAGAGTTCTTGTAATAGTTGAAGGACATGTCTTAGATGGTTATCTAATTGATGACAAGCTTTTCTTATTACAGATCCCCGAAGAGGAGAAAAACCTGGGTCCTCATGATCGCTTGATTCATGTTTACCATTTTATGAAGGACACGACTCAAAATCAAGCAGTAAGTACATGCGTAGAAATTGAAAAGTGCTTATGTAGCTATAGTTACAATCAGTGTATATGGGTGGAAGTTCTTTTCTCAATTAACTATTTCTAATTCCAATCCCTTTGCAGCACGTACAAAACTTTGGGGAGCCCTTTTTCCTGGTTATTCATGAGGGTGAGACACTGACTGAAGTTAAAGCCCGCATTCAGAAAAAATTGCAGGTTCCAGATGAGGAGTTTTCTAAGGTACTCAATCTTTCTTGCTTTGCATTCTTGTTTCTATAGTGAGTAATCTTGGAGAATTTCTCTATTCACTTTTAGTAAAGAAGATACATGTATTTTATTTATTTTACTTATTTTACTTATTTACATGTTCTATTTTTACTATGCAGTGGAAGTTTGCGTTTTTGTCCATGGGCCGTCCTGACTATCTCCAGGATTCAGATGTTGTGTCCAATCGCTTTCAGGTATTTGCCCTTTTTCTTTCTATATCTCTCTCCCTCCCTACCCCCTCCTCCTTTCTCTCTCTATCTCTATCTCTATCATCCATGTGTATAATGTTCGGCTATTTTGTTCTCCTAACTGGTTTCCAGAGGAGAGATGTTTATGGTGCTTGGGAGCAGTATCTTGGATTAGAGCATGCTGACAATGCTCCTAAAAGGTCATATGCTAGCAACCAGGTATGCTAACAGCTAAAAATTTTTGAGGTCTTTTCTTGGTGAGATGTCTTTTAACACTGGTTGAGCAACAATTACCCCATCCGTCAACTTAAGGAAACACTTGCTCTAGATTTCAACATGCCATTGGACAAGAGAATACTTTTGTATACATGAATATATGCTAACCAGCTAAGATTATAAAAGTACTTCATGATTCTTGGTTGTTTGAAATTGGTTTCTCTTAATCTTTTACCTGTGGGCTCAATGGTATTCTTGTATTGAAAATATCACGTAAGATTAACCCTTCAAAGATCATTAACATATTGTTTGACTTACCTTTTACAAAGAGAAATAAGTCTGAACGTGTCATTATTTAGTAAGCCAACAGAAAGCTAATTTGATCATGTTTACTACTAATTCATGAGTGATATTACCAGCTTTTAATTGTTGGTGTATAACTGGCTCATATTGGTACTGCAGAACCGACATACTTTTGAGAAGCCTGTTCGGATCTACAACTAATCTTCTAAATGGCTGACCAATATCTTCGATGGGGCATGTAAAATCTCGCAAAGAAGCAGCACTAGCTTCAGCAGAAGATATCAGTGTGGCAGTTGATGCAGGGATGTCTTCGTGGTGGTAATATAACTTTTGCCCTCCGAACGTGGTTAAGCATATGAGCTTACAATCTATTTCGGCAAGCAACACAATATTCGATTCAAGTAGGTTTAGGTGGCAGAAACCGTTGATTCAACTGTAATTTTAGGCGATGCACATGATTTTTGGGTGGGCCCATGTATAGAGGGTATAGATCTTCGTTTTGACATTGTCCTGTTTTGTCGTTCCTATTCCTCCCTATTGCCTTTTTCAGTTCTCTCATAACTAGATTTCGATGGAAAAATAACAATCTAGAGGAACACAATGCTGGGATATTCTATAGCGACATTGTTGTAGAGCAATTGAAAGGGATGAATCACAATTCGATAGTGTCTTTATTTGCAAAATGTCTAACTTATAGCTAGTTAGATACTCCTATTAGATTTGTATGATCAATTTGGGTTAATACAAGTCTATTGTGGTTGTCATTTATCAGAACAATTGTACATCTACTTTTTCTGTTTAATTTTGGATGAAATAGAAGTAGCAGAATGCTTATATTCTCTCCCCCGTATTCATTTTGCTTCATCTGTATTTACATCTGCTATAATACGATCAACCCCTTATAAATGTTCGAAAATGTACTCTTAGTTGAATTCTTCAATTCCTCTCAGTCAATCGTTATATTAAGATACTATATCACTTATTTTGACATAATGTGCAAAATTCAAACGGTAGTATTACATGTCTGTACTAATTATAATCGTAATAGCGCCCAAATATTCTCACTTTTTCTGATTTTAGTTAAAAATTTAAGTTTATGCCCTTGTGACAATGTGCTTCGAGGATTTTGACTTGTTTTTATTTATTTTTAATCTTTGCCACTGGACATTACCCAGCAATCTCAATCGTCATATGCAAAATTAAAAAGAAAAAGAAAAAAAAAAGACGGAAAGAAAAACCACTGAATAATGTATGTACAATTTGTGTATCTTACAAAGAAAGGAAAAAAAGGGAAACTACCAGCTATGTCCATTTATAAGTAGCTCATTATCAAAATTGGTCAATTGATAAAATATTACTAATATTAGTCAATTAGCTATTTGTAGCAAAAAAAATTAATTTTTTGCTTTGTTTTGAGTGGGTGTTATTAGAATAGGTTGGGCACAACTTAAGGAGTTTGAATCTCAGTTTTGGGATGATTTGGTGAAGTTTTGAGATGGTTTGAATTAAAAATTCGAAGTAAAAGCTGAACATGAAAAAAAAATGATGTGTATCACACCGTGTATCATTTGTGTATCACATATGTATCATATTTGTATCTATTGTGTATCACATGTATATGCATGTATACCTGTGTGTGAGATACATGCGTGATACATGTTTGATACATGTGTCGCAAAAGACTTTTTTGAACTCGATTTAATTACGAATTTTGATACAAAACTAGTCCAAATCACCTCTAATCTTCCTCAAATTTTGTATATTGACTTATCTATATATTTTCAATGAATTTCAACTATACCCATTGAAAAAGTTCCTTTTTTGTTTAGATTTTTGGAATATTGTATAGATTTTTGTATTTCATCACATTATTTACTACTCCGTCCATGAAATTTCCTTTCCGTCTTGTATCTAATGTTGCTAATCACGCTTAAAAATATAGAAGGTGATTTTTGCATGTGATTCTTTGATAGAAGAACCCTATTATTTGATTTTTCAATTTTTGTTGGGTAGTTTTGGTAAGTCTATGACTAATGGCTAGAAGTTGGTAAGTTGAGATTTATTTGGGACATTTGTGTAAGTTTCCCAAAAAAAAAAAAACAGGAAAATAGAGAAACGGACACCACCGATACTGAAAGGGCGCGAAACTCAGACACCTATTATTAGATTCATTGTCTGAGGGATTAATTCAGGTACACATTGTCTTCCCATTTCTGTTTTTTTGCTCTATAATAAGTAATGTTTAATATTTATTTCAATACCAAGTCTGACACTTAATATATTTATGCTTTGCTATTTGTTTTAATTGAAAATAATTCAATGAATTTCTTTTTCTTCAATCTTTTTATCCCTTTATGATAGCAAAGTTTTGTTTCCTTTTTCTTAATCTTACTAACTAGGCAATTGTTCACTTGGAAATGCATTAATTAAATGCTGATGCTTGGTTATTAATTAGTTTTACCACATCAAATAAGGCGCATCAAGTGTAAATGTAAAATAATCTAAACAGAAGTTTCTTGCGTTTACGGTTTGTTATCTGATATCGCATATTTAATTCTTTCTGTCCCTTTCTTTTCACTGTAAAACATCATGCATGTATAATATTTTATTCTTTAATAATTCTCTTTTTCTATGCCGTAACCGCTGTTTTATTGGACTCTTCGGCAGCCATAATTTGCACAAAGAGTTCCTACTAAATGTTAATTCCGACCCAAGTTAAGTATATAATATTATCCTTTTAAGCAAATTAAATACTTTTTTTTAAAAAAAAAATCCACGATACTTTCTCCCCAAGTAGTTGCCGCCATTTTCCCAACCATTTATATACTTATCAAATTCACGTTACTTCTGCAATTGTAGTTTTGTGGAGTTTCAAACTATCTATAATAATAAGGTTTTATTAACAGAAAAAGAAAGTCACAACCTTTTTTCTTTTGGTTGCAGAGTTGTTGTGCAGATTGAGAACAAAAATGGGTCTAATTCATATGCGAAAATGGTTGCTTGTGTTGTTAGTTTTGGTGTCACAAAGTTCATCATCACAGGGTTGGTTCTTTTCATCTACAACTAATAGCAAGAATGATAATAAACAAGAAAACAGTAATTCAGGCAAATACTCTTGGAAAAGTCGAACGGTTAAGTTGGTGTCTGAATTCTCAATGGAAGTTTATAAAAATGAAAAGGGACTTAAACTCATCGAAAACGCTAAACAAAAGATGTTAGTCCCTGATTCTTGTTGGCAGAGAGCTTATCAGAGTGTATTTGCTGTGTGTTCAAAAGCTCTTCCCGATGAAGAATTAAGGTCTAGACTTTCTTGGAATTTATGTGATTGTTTTCAGCAACATACTGGGAGATCTCCTTTGCCTTATTGTGATGCAAAATCACCAATGACAAATTGTCTCAAGAAAATAGATACTGATGTTCTCAAAATTTATTTGGAGTTCCTTCTTGAAATTGGTGCAATTTGCCATCAATTGCAGTAAGTTTTTACTATTTTCCCACTTTGAATATAAAGGGCATCCCGGGGACCGGTGAAGTGTCTGCATTTCTGCAAGAGGCTGTTTTCACGGCTCGAACCCGTGACCTTCTGGTCACATGGCAGCAACTTTACCAGTTACGCCGAGGCTCCCCTTCTTTTTTCCACCTTGAATATCTTCTCCGTTTTTGCTTAGTGAAAGTTAGTATTGAGGTCTTATGCTTTTTCAATAATTGCAGGATAGATGCATGGAAGTTTTCAATAGAGAGTTTGGTGAACAATTTGCAAATTTCTGCTGAATTTGCTGAGGAAAAACTAGAGAACATGTTACAAGTAGGGGAATTGCTATTACAAAACTCGAAAAATGTACAAGAATCTTTAGCCTCGATTGATGTTCAAACTCAACGAGTAGTAGAGACTTCCAAGAATATTGAGGATAGTGTAAACTCTGTGTCGAGGCAGTCAGAAGCAATTTTGGAGCAATCGAAAGGAATAGCAGCTTCACAGTTAGAGTTGAGCGAAGGGCAGGCGATAATGAAGGAGACTTTGCAGGAAAACATGGCAATGGTTCATGAATCTTATACTAGTTTAGACCATGGGATGAATAGATTAGTAAATGGAACTGAGGAAATTGAGAATAAGATTGTGAAAGTTGGGGATGAAATGACTTCTAGGATGGACAAATTACAGACTAAAGCTGATGATATTGGGAATATTGCTGGCCAAGCTTTGGATAAACAGAAACAACTTTTGGATGGACAATCTGAAGCTATTAATGGCCTTGAACTCCTCACTAAAACTCAGTCTCAAGCAATGGAAGAGAGCAGGTAAAACCATCAACAATAACTTGTGCGATTCTTATATATACACTACTTACGTTGTCAGTGTAATTTAACTGGTTATAGCAAGTTATTACTCCATATTTTTTAGGTACTATAACACGGTTGAGAAGGGGAACCTTGGAGCAACGATAAAGTTGTCTCCACGTGACCTATAGATCACGCGTTCGAGCCGTGGATCAGCCACTGATGCTTGCATCAGGGTAGGCTGCCTACATAACATCCCTTGGGGTGCGACCCTTCCCTGGATCCTACGTGAACGCCGGATGCTTTGTATTCCGGGCTGCCCTTTTATATCACGGTTGATATGTAGGTTACTTCTTGTTGGCCAAATTTGTAGGCTGATGTATTTATCTTAATACTTTTGCAGGGTAACTCTGCAACAGTTGGCTCAATTCGGGCACGAGCAACAAGAGGAGCTTCTTAGACGGCAAAAACAACTCCAGCAAACACATGATCATCTTGTTGAGAAATCAAAAACTATATTAGCTGCTCAGGTTTGTTAATTCATATTAAGGAAAGCAACTTTAAGTTAGTATAATATCATCATTGTCTTAGATTTCTAGTACTAGTTCATGAATTTCTTTAATTGTGTCAACAGGAAAGCTTTGAGTCTAAACAAGCAAGCATGTTCCTTGCCATAGACAAGTTGTTCGCATTGCACAACGCCATGCTTCTTGAATCAAGATTGATCAAAGCGTTCTTGCTCTATTCGTTGTCAATCTTTCTTCTCTACATGTTCACTAGCACGAAGCAGACTTATAATGTGAGACCTAGACTTTACATAGGTAAGTATCACTTCTTTTCTTTTTTCCAAACTATATTCTTTTCTTCTAAATCCTCTTGTGCTCATTGCTGCTTCATCATTTCTGGTTTTTTTATAGGGTTATGCCTCACATTCTTGATTGAAGTAGCCATACTTCGATATGGAACAAGTGAAATTGATGATCAAGCATGGACTGTGAGCATAGTTAGGTCTCTATTTGTGTTACTCGCGTCGTGCCAACTTCTATATTCCATTTGGACATACAGGTACAAACAATAGAAAAAAACTAAATCTTCTCTTTTTAGCATACCAAATTTTCATAAAAATTATACATATCTTCTTATTATGCAATTACCTGTGTTTCTAGAGTCGAGGGTCTATCGAAAATAGCCTCTCTACTTTCACAAGGTAGAGGTAAGGTCTGCATACACACTATCCTTCCCGGACCCCGCTTATGGGATTGCACTGGGTATATTGTTGTTGTTGAAACACCTTCTTATTGTGCAAACATGTTGCAGAGATTATGAAGTGTTGAATCATCAAATGTTACTGACACTAGTGGAGAAGGTTAATGGAATTCAGAAACAAAAGAAGTACTTATCATATGAAATGGGGAATGAGGATTCAGATAGTGATGTGGATTGGTCGTCTTGGATTGAAGCTGAATTACCAGAAGATGTTGACAAATTGAAGGATCCTGACTTTGCATATCCTGAAGAAGTTGCTGAGAATTCAGTTGGAAGCATGTCAATTACAAGAAGATAATCACCACCTTTTGACAAATTGAAGATATTAACAATTTATTTTCAACCATCTTATATGTTTATAGTAATAGGAAAACCATACAAACTGTTGGTGTTTTCTTTTATAGTAGTTACTAGTTACTTTAGCCGTGCTGTGCCCGGGCCCAATTCTAAAAGTTAAAACTTGAAATCACAAGAAATAATTATTTTCTTACTTTGGACTTCTATTGTATTTTAAAAATATATATTCCTATAAGTTCTTGAAGTCCAATTGAGCCTTAGCATGTTAATCTTGTTTGACTTTTTTTTGTTTTATAAATTTTATTTGAGAGAATTTAGTAAGTGAACCGTTAGATGTTCATCTTTTAATTTGGTAATTGATTCTACTAATGGAAATTTTTTTGTGATATTTATAGTTTGTTGTCGTAAAGATAAGTTAGATTACATAATTTGATATAAAAAAGGATGGGCCCGATAGGCCAATATAGTGCATGTAAGTTTTTCTAATGGTACTTAAAAGTTTTTATAATTTCCTATTTGAAATTAACTTTAAATCATTTCGATTTAACTTTTCACTCTAGCTTGATTTCTAAAATTGTCTTGAAATAACCTCTACCCCACAAAAATAGAGATAGGGTCTACATACATCATACTTTTTTCAGACTTCACTTTGTGAGATTACATTGTTATGTCGTTGATGTTGTACTCCTAATTGTACACTCCTTCTCAACTTCCCTCCGAAAGAAATATATTTCGGTTCAGGAAAGCTTAAGTTTTTTCTTATTTTCACTAAGTGATCATTTTGATTTATCTATATATAACTCTAGATAAATGAAAGCTTGCACAAAAATAATCTAACATAATATTTATAATAGGCTGGTAACAACAACAACAACAACCCAGTATAATCCCATAAGTGGGGTCTGGGGAGGGTATTATGTACACAGACCTTACCCCTACCGCGAGGGGCAGAGAGGTTGTTTCCAGGAGACCCTCGCTCAAGACAACAACAAGAGACGATACGTTAGTACTATCAATAAACTCATACTAAAATAACATAAAATACATAACATAACATAAAATAACAACAATATTAGAAATATAGGAATAATAGGCTGGTAAGTGTATCTAATATTCTAATTTCTTTTCTTAAATTTTATTTACCAAGCATTTGCTACTATCACCATATAAATTGCAGATTATTTAATTTTTGTAAAAATCTTAGTAGCTTTAGTTTTCTCACCATTTTTATTTGATATTTTATTTTTTATATTTTGAACTATTTTATAATATATCCTGTGATGTAATTAAATACAAAGCTCCTCTCATCGCCAAATAAAATTTGATTGATAAAAAATATATAGTAACAACAAAATGATATTATCAAAGTACATAAATATTTAAAAGTTACATAAAATAAAACTTGTAAGAGCTGAAAAATAGAGTATTGTACCAAGTACATACAATGATATCAGTGAGAATTTAGTAGGCCTACAATAATCAATGTAGAAGTTTAAAACAAAGAAGCAAAAGCTGTTCCACGTGGCAACCTGCATTTTGGGCCTTGAAAATGCCTCAAAATTTCGCTTATTTACATCAATATGTGATGGCAATTGATGTAATAATGTACAAAACAGGGGCAAATAGATGTTCCATTAAAGCAGTTTGGCTTGGCAATTTGGGCCTCGAGAATGCCTCAAAAGTGTCCTTTATTTACCAAATTGTGTGATGCAATTGCTGTAATAAGATGAAAAAACAAGGGTAAATATATTGTTGGTGAAGTTGGCATTCCAGCCAAGTAGAAACTCAAAGGGTATTGTTGTCAATTCACTGGATGACCCTAAGCTCCTCTCTTAGGCTCTTCTATAATAGTAGTAATATGTATTACTAGTAATTCTGGGACTTGATTATTTGTTTGGAACTTATTCAGTTGCTTTTGTTTATGGATTATTCTTGTATTAGACAAACTAATGAAGTTATTCTCATAGTGGAAATGTGGTAATTACTTGTATAATGTGAATCCTCCAACCAGTGATAGTTTTTGTGTTGTGGCCTAAAATCTATGGGAAAATGACACTATATAGCCGCTTTCAAAATAGTAGCTGTATGTATTTTTTGTACATATATATATATATATATATATTACCATATGTTATATACAAAAAATAGACAAATTTTATACGCTTTTGCGGCTACCGGATATAAATAGTTTCGGCCGTAGACTAAAAGTGATCTTTGCCCAATCTAATTTAACCCCCCTCCTCCTTTTTCCCTTACCGGTGATTTAGTGGGCGTCTGGACATAAGAATTGTAAAATTCCGGATTTTTTTTAAAGTGAAAATGGTATTTGAAAATTAGAGTTGTATTTGGACATGAATACAATTTGGAGCTATTTTTGAATTTTTGTGAGTGATTTGAAGTAAATTTTTTGAAAATCAGCCTTTTGGATTGTTTTAGATTTTCGAAAAATTTCGAAATTTAACTTAAAGTGAAATTTTTTCAGGGACAAACACTAATTCGAAAAAAGTGAAACGATTCTTATGGCCAAACAGGCCCTTAAAGTGAAACTTAGACCAAACATTTTACGCCAGGACGGGAGTTACATGGTCCAAAGGATTGAATCCGTTTCGTCGCAATATTATAATCATGGTAAAATCACTTTTTGTGTATATATATATAAATTGTTGAATCTCCTACTTCTAGTGTTATGACAAAGATAACTGCAAAATTATTTTAGGTTGCAGGTTTGAATACTACATTTGATAATCTTGATTTTTTTAATTGAATTTTCTTGCTAGGGTAGTAAAGACAGACATGCCTAAGGGTTTACCCCATTTTTGGTCCTCATATGGGGATTTCCCCATTTTGAGAACAACTTACTCCAACCATTCCCCCATTTTTTCCCCAAAAAGAGAATATTCTTTTTTTATATTCTTCTCTCTCTTCTATATTATATTATTATCTTTCATTTCAATTTTATTTTTTAATTTCCATTAAACAAATTCCATCTTTTATTTTCATTAATTTGTAATTTCCATTAAAACAATTCCATAAAATTTTAAATAATATAATCTGTAAGCAATTATTATAGTGTCACGACCCAAGTTCGCCCTCCGTGAATTGTCATGATGACACCTAGTCTCTACGACTAGGTAAGCCTAACAATTGCAGAAAAAGAAAAAGAACCAAAATGCGGAAAACTAATAAAACTGAAGATAAACAATATAAAAGTGTTTGAGATGCCACTCGGCATATACCAATACAAGATCTCAGAAACTAAACAATTCCCAAAACCCGGAATCTCATGAAATCACAAGCTATGAATACTACATTGTGCTCTAACTCCAGAATGTCTAAATCAAGATAAATACAGAAAGGCTAAACTATTAGAGAGAATGGAAAGGGACTCCTCGGTCTGTGGACGCGGCAAATATACCTTGAAATCTCTAGAGAATCACCTCGCCTCAAGGGTGGTAGGACTGAGTCGAAGTACCTGGATCTGCACATGAAAAACATGCGCAGAAAGGGCATGAGTACACCGCAACGGTACTCAGTAAGTGCCAAGCCTAACCTCGGTCGAGTAGTGACGAGGAAGGTCAGGGCCCTACTGATTATAGCTAAAAAATGAGGTAAAACAGTATAGAATACGACAATATAATTAAATGCCAACAATAAGAAGTAACACAGGATAATAAGAATAACAATAACTATAATAGAAACAAAATAATCACAAAAGAAATACCGCCCAACACAAAGATAACAACCGGAGATCTCTCAGTATCCCGAGGATCTCTTAGTATCCTCAATATGTATGTTGGGGATCTCTCAGTATCCTGAGGATCTCTTAGTATCCTCAATATATATGCTGGGGATCTCTCGATATTCCAAGGATCTCTTAGTATCCTCAATATACGTGCTGGGGATCTCTCGATATTCCAAGGATCTCTTAGTATCCTCAATATACGTGCTGGGGATCTCTCGATATCCCCGCACTACAATCCAAATCAATATATGTGCTGGGGATCTCTCGGTATCCCGTACTACAATCCAAATTAATATATGTGCAGGGGATCTCCCAGGATACCATCCCGTAGTCCCAAATAAACACAGTAGCAACACGAAGAATACTCAATTAAACTCAATTTCATACCAAGGTAAAACATGTATTCCTAACCTAGCATGCTACACATAATCCAAATAAGACAGTTTGAACAAGTAAAACAAATAAGTCAATTAGACATGCTTTCTTAAGCTAACAACAGGCTTAAATTGCAAGTAGTATAACCAAGAAAGGAAACACAATTAAAGTTACTTAATGAAAACAAGATTTTCAATAATTAGCACGAGTACGCACTCGTCACCTCACGTACAAGGCATTTCACATATGAACAATACCAAATCCTAAAGGGAGTTCCCCCACACAAGGTTAGACAAGCCACTTATCTCGAACCGGCTCAAAATCAACCCGAAACCACGTTCTTGCCACGAGTCCTCGACTCCAAATGGCTCAAATCCGCAAACTCCCTCCGAAAATCTTTTCAAACTTCGTCTCCGACCGAGCTCCTAATTCAATTTTGTAATATGAACTCAAAACCCTCGATTTTGAAATTTATGTTCTGCCCAGACGCGTTCTTCTTCGCGAACGCGATGTACAAAAATCTACTGGCCAGTCTTCCTCTTTCACGAATGCGAGGGTCCACTCGCGAATGCGTAGCTTACACTAGCGGACCCTACGCGAATGCGAGGACCATGTCGCGAACGAGAAGCCTAAAGGGTCCATACCTTCGCGAACATGGGACATCATCACAAACGCGAAACACGATTCAGCTGCTTCACCTAGATGCTCTATGCGAACGCGATGAAGGTTTTCTCTGCAGCACAACAACAAAAAATCTGCAATCTTTCTAAGTCCAAAATTGACCCGTTAAGCATCCGAAACACATCCGAGGCCCCCAGGACCTCAACCAAACATGCCAACCAATCCTAAAACATCATTCAAACTTGTTCCAACCTTCGGAATGCTCAAAACAACATCAAAACACTAATTTAACATCGGATTCAAGCCTAAGAACTCCAAAAACTCTCAAATCATGCTTTCGATCAAAACGTCTATCAAACCTCTTCCGAATGACCTGAAATTTTGTAAGCACGTCACATTCAATACTGCGGAGCTACTCCAACTTCCAAAATCCCATTTCGACCCCAATATCAAAATTCCACTATCGAACCGGAAACTTCAAAAATTTAACTTTCAGCATTTCAAGCCTA